TATATATGCTACAACTATCACTAATAAAATATATAATATAACTAATATATATATGAAATATATAATAAATAGTATATATACTATATATATGATAAATAATAAAAGTGTCTCAAAAACCATAGGTAATAAATGTATTACATATAACGAATCTCTTGCAGTAGTTATTCAGCTAATCAGATCGTACAGATTATAATAAAAAAGCAAATTTTGATTATCTCAGGATCCAGTAATTGAATTTTAATGATTCTTAACTCATTAGAACTGTCTCAGTGAGCTAATTCTAATATATATATTTTATCCAATTCAGACTGGTAGATCAAAAGTTATTAAGGAATTTGTATTTTTCCTTATATTTTATATGTCAACAATGTTCATATATTATACATAATTAAAACCTTTGAACTAATATTTTTAAGTAAAGTTACTATTTTCTACGTATACCTTCAAAAAGACTTATTACTTAACTACTTAATACTTGTTAACAAGAAACATGATAACATAGGTTAAGAACACTAAGCATTCTCTTAAAGTATCTATTATCTACAATAGAAAATAGTAACTAACAATACATAATAAAATCAACTACTTTTTTAGTAATTTTATTTGTTCATTTTTCTTCTTTTAATATATATGATATAGTCATAAGGTGTAAGAGTATCTGCTATTTTAAGAAGATATTTTTATAGTGCCTGTTATTAAGGTAAATTGAAAAGTTCCTATTGTGTTGCCTGATTTTTACTTTTGCTTACATAGATTGCAAACTATTGCAACTATTTCTTAGTTATCATTTTTTTCTTTAGAAAAAAATTTTCATACAATAGATATGCATTGTCTAGCTTGTTTTGAAATGTAATTATTCAAAATACTACTATTATTTGAATTAATAGTAGAATCTGCATAATAATCATCAGCAACACTTACACTTTTATTATTATCAGCAGTAAAATTTGTATTCTCATTATTACTAAAAATGAAGCTAATATCCTTATTATTATCAACAGCAAAGTTCATATCTTTAACAAAAAAAGTATCATTAATAAAGTTAATATTTTTACTAGGCTTAACAGCAAGGCTTATACTTTCATATCTACAGTATTTAAGTTGTTATAAGTTTCTTTAGACATGATGTTTAATGTTTGATCTTTCAAATTAAATGTTTGTAATTTTTAAAAGAAAATTTTTTTTAAAAAATTGTGTTCTTATTTATTGTTCTTATTCTATAATCATCAATTTGATACTTGATAAAAATAAAATTTTTTTTCAAGTAAAATTTTTTTTTAATTTCTTTTTATCATATGATTAATCAAGTTTTTATTATTGTTGTTCTTATAGTTATTCCATAATCATCAACTTAATATTCAAACTTTTTTTTTTTATTATATTACTATTATCCTTCTATATATTACTATTAATTATCTTTCTATAATTGTTAATTTGACATTGTTAAAGCATAAAGTGAAAAGAATAGGTACATTTACAGAATTTACTTAAAAAGAATATTAGAACTATCTTGTGATTAATACTGTATAAAAGAATAAATATAAATTTACTACTATGAAAAGGTTTGGTTTTTAAAAAAACTTCAGTTTATTTATATAAATGCAAGTAACTTTAGACTTTATGTATATTTGAGTAATACAAATAAAAAAAAACTAGTTGAACTAAATATTTAAAATATATATATATATCAAGGAATAAATATGTACTAAAACTAGTTTAGTATATTAAATCTAGGAGTGTTATAAATAACAATACTGGAAAGCAACTCTTTCTGTAGATCACTTGTACCAAAACTTCCTGCAAAAATTTTATTATTACTCAAAATTCTATTAAGTAAACTAACTTTGGGCCACTAAGTAAAGTTGTTCACAGCAAAATTTTACTCTAGAGCGGCCTAGTTTTATCTCTTCCAGACCTTTTCTTGTAGAGATATTAAATAAACTTTATTTCTCTAGTTTCTTCAAAATATCTTAAAATTATACTAAGTAAACAACCTCTGGACCTCTAAGTAAAATTGTTGGACACCAAATTTTACCTCTAGTGGTGTAGTTTCATATCTCTCGAACCAAATTTTATAGAGATATTTTTTATTTCCGGTTTACTTATATTTTCTTAAATATTTCAAAATATTACTAATATAACAACTTTTGTTCATTAAAAGAGTTAGATTCTCCTAAGTCAGTGCTTCATTTTGATATAAATTTTATCAAAAACGGAGCAAAACTTGCTAAGCTATTACCAAAAACCAGTTTAAAGGCATTTTAATTCCTCGTAGATCACTTAGAATTTATCTGTAACAGTTTCGGAAAATTTACTGGCTTGCCTCAGATTTTTCACTTTTATTTCAACCCTAAAAGAATCCAGATCACAAGATTCTGCTCACAAGATCTAGAAATTTTATTAGCCATTTGGAAAATTTATTGGTTTTCCTAAAAATCTTAAATTACTAGATCATTTTTGATCTGTTTCTATCTGTTTCTTTTGTAAAACATAATCTATACTCAGTACTTTTAGACTATCCTTCTTTTATAATAAACCTATATTCACAAAATACCTACTTTAACCTCAACTGAACCAGATACTATTAATTTGGACTTCTTCTACACCAAATACCCTAATAGCTTTGGTATTGCTTTTAATAAAGAAAGTTCAACTACCCTACACCCAATTCCTGCAAAAAGTACACCATTAGCCTGTATTACTAAAATTCTTCGAAGTGATAACAAGGTTACTCACTTTATCAAAGCTCCTCCAACTACTGCCACCACTTTCTGTCTCTGCAACAAATACCATACCAAATTTATTACTACTAGCAACAAATCTTTCAAGCCAATTCATACCAACTTTATTCCTTTTATTGCTAATACAAAAAATAAAAATACTCAAAAAATGCTACAAAGCATTGCTACATCAACTGATAATATTCTCCCTTCACCTACTTCAGTCACTCATCAACATGCTTGCCAAAAATGCCAACAACTAATTTCTGCAAAGTTATAAATAATCAACACAAACTTAGTAATGATGCAATATTTCAAAACAACAGTACTTATCATTATGCTTGTTTAACACCTGAAGTTGCTGAGACTTCTACATCAACTGGTGTTTATGCAACATCTTCAACTTCACTAATGAATTATGCTTCTACTAGGAAAAATCTTTTAGCTACATTCCAACAAAACCAAACAAAACCTCTTGTTATTTCTAATATTTCAATGACAATACCTGCTACTCAACCAGAAACTACATCTTATACTTTAACAATAGCTATTCCTACAAATAATACTTCTTCAAATATGAAGATTGATAACCCTATAACTCTAACAACTGAAACTGAACAACAAAATTTATCTCCTAAGACTCTCTCACCAACTCATACTGACACATCACCTATTTTACTATTACTAACAACTCAGCAAATTAACCAAACTACTGAAACTCTTAACATAAACTCCTCCTTAAATATGGATATTGATGACTCCTTACAACACTTAGATAATTCTACTCTTGTTCTTAAAAGGAAAAATAAGAAGCTTAATATCACATCAAATACTAATTTAACAAAAAAATCTAAAACTCAAACAACACAACCTAAAGTACTCTTTGATTGGCTTAAACACTTTTCTATCACTAAGGAAATGAAAAAAATTTAAAAACTAGAAACTCCTTTATCATTTCAAGTTTTTGAATTTCTTAAAAATAACTTATATAATTTTACTCGAAGTAAAGAAATTAAACCAGCAACAACAAACTGAAAAGCTCTTAAAACTAGCTTCTATAATGCGATTTGAACTATGGCTAGTCAATATCCTAAGTTTTTAACTGACTTAATATATACTTCGAATCCAACGATTAGCAAAGAAGCTACAATTCTTTTTGAAATACTAGAATCAATACTCAAAAGACTAATTCACAAATTCACTACAATTCTCTTTACTAAAATGAATTATGCTGAAATATTTGTATCTTCATTAACTATCTCACTACATATGAACAAAAACTATATTCACCTTTGTCTCAATATAGCAAGGATCTATCTACATCTTGATAACAACTATGAATACCAAACAATTGACTATATTAAATTTGCTGAGGACTTCCAACTCAGACCTAAAAGATTTGTAGTTTCTTCATC